GTGTACACCGCTTAGAGAGTGCTTGCACTTAAAGCGGTATATAAGTCTCATAAATAAATAAATAAATAAATAAATAAATAAATTCAATCCAATTCTTATCAGTCATAATTTCTTCTTATTGGTCATTTTACTGTCTAAATTTTCCCATTTAAATACATCACCCCAATATTTTATGTCATGCATTATAAAAATACTGTACCTTTCTATCTGTCCTATAGTATCTAGATATAACATTTTAATTAGTTTATATTTTATATTAATAAAAGTTACATCAACCTATTATTTTAACATTTAATATATTATGAAACATACTATATTACTTAAATCTCATCCTTCTTGTTATAAAACCCCGTTATATTCGAAATTCTCTGTTCTTTAAGTCGTATTCAAACAAATGTTTAAATTCACGTAATAGTCCATCTGTCATGATTCTGACAGATGAAACTCTTCAAAAGAACTTCGAGACATTGTTTATCTAAAGAATCTTTTATTCGAGTAGCATAATATCAGCACTTACATAATCGAATTCCCCTCCCTTGGGCACATAGTATCAAAGCATAATTCCCTCCTCCAATTAACAGTCATAAATCACATTCCCCAATTAGCTTGAAGCATGAGCTTCCTCTCCAGTTCTCCAGCCCGCTAATTCTTTATCAGCTCTGGGCTCAATAACCTTGATTCTCACGCTAAGTTTAGTGTTGTTATGTCTAGCTAGACTCTCATTCACATTCCCCCCCCCCCTCAGCATCATCTAACTCTAAAAGCAAATGGGAAAAAGAAGGCTACATTTTCTCTGTTGTCAAGGCAAAACATCCGATGTTAGCAGCGTTTACACCATCTGGTAGGGCGAGTCAAATCTCTTGTATCTGTCTCAAATCTTCTTCTTTTGCCAAATAATTTTCCAAGTTGATGTAATCCGCTTATCCAACAATTCCTGTATTTTTACAAATGTTATTGGGAATACAAAAGATGAAGTAAGTAAGAAATTCTTTCTGTCCCCCAACTTTAATAGTTCTCCTAATAATTCCATTTTTCTTGTTGTATCAGAACCTTGTAAATTTTTTGTGTCAAATTGTAATTCTTTTCCTTTGTTATTTCATCAATTTGATCATACTCTTCTAATTTGTAATCAGCTGTCTGATTTGTTTGTTCCTTTGTTGTTATTTCCTGGGTATTTTTTAATTGTACATTTAAATTGGAAATATGCTTATTTAAGTCCTCAAAGTAGTTTCAAATTTTGTCGTGGTTTGAATCTATTGTCATTTGTATTTGTCTAACATTATATATATTTCCTCTGGGAAAGTATTTATCTTGCCTTGAAGTATTGCTTTTGGAGGCCCTTGATTTTCCAGGCAAACTCCATCAAGAGAAAATATTGAATGTGGTATTCTGTCATTTTTTGATACGTATCCGATATCCATGTTGTCTCCCCCCTTCAAATAATCTTTCATCAATATTTTAATTCAAAAGTCAATTTATCAGTCAGTCAAAATTACGGATTCAGTATATTAAGCCACTTTAAATCCTTCCTGCAAATTCTCCTCTAAAAGATTAGCCAAAAAGCCAAGGTTTCCCCCCCCCCTATAAACAGTTCTTAGGTTTAAGCAATAGTCCAGGTGTTTTTTTTTTCTTTCAAACACTTTTTAATCTTATAGCTAGCTCTCCTTTGTTCCCAGCTGTCTTCAAGGTTATTTACAATTCAAAGGAACAACTTTTTCTTTGTTTCTAGGCATTCTGCCAATTTTTGAGTTCTTATTGTTAGTGTTCTACTCTCTGATTCTGCACTAGATGTTAGCAGTTACATCTTTTTTCAGTTTTTCTTTCAATCAAAAAGTTATTTTTGTTATATATTTTTATAATTCCATCAGAAATTTTTAGGGTATAATTTTTACAGTTTTTTAATTCCTAGATTTGTCCAGACTGAAATATTTTAAATCAAATTTTAGTATATTTCTTTCCACCTTTTATGTTCATTTGCCGCTTCCGTCTGTAAGGGAATGGGGATATAGTCCTCCCCTTCACTTATGGAGGTTTTCTTGCTTTGGGGATCTTTTCAAGGATTTAAATAGTAGATAGAAGAAAGAAGATCAGTACTTTCACCAATTCCAAGCACGCTGTTCACTGATGTTTAGGTTCGTGCTCTGGGACTTCAGCTGCAAGCAGCTTGGGCTAGACCAGTGGTTCTCAACCTGTGGGTCGGGACCCCATTTGGGGTCGAACGACCATTTCATGGGGGTCACCAAACAACGCAGTCCGCCATTTTTTCCCCTTTTCCTTAGCTGTGCTACTCCCTTTTATTCTATTGGCTTTTGAAAGCCAATAGAATAGACTCTCTTGAATGGAGTCTAATTCTATTGGCTTTCAAAAGCCAATAGGAATTGTCCAGGCCGCCAAAAGTCCCATTCTGCAAATGGTGCTGCACCAGTTGAGTAGCCCTCGACTTACGACCAGTTGGGGGTCGCGGCATTAAAAAGGTTGAGAACCACTGGGCTAGACGCTGATCTCACGCTAGCCTTTCTCCTCTCGGGTTCGGAGGGCTTTTCCCAGATCAAACAAAGCAATTGCCGTCACTTCGTGATCGACAGGCCACCCTCCTTCACAGTCACCTCTCCAACTTCGGACCCATCCCCCAAGCAGGAAGAAACTAGCCGTGGGGAGCGGAGGTCCGCTCTCATGCGGCCATGTGCTGCAGACACAAAAACCAGAAGTCCATTATCAAACTTCTGATGCCTGACTGCATGAGTGGGACAGGCCAATCCCCCTGGGATGTGACTGCTTCTCAGATACTAAGGTAACTTTATCTGAGCTTTTAAAAATGTTAATAGATCTTAATATGATGTATTCAAGGAAAAAATAAACTATATTTTTTTCTGGACTACACTGAATTATAGAAAAGGCTTGGGTAAATCATCATAAGATTAATGCTTCATCTACTCATATTTTTGTAAAAGCTCTTCTAATTGTTCCTTTTAGGGAGGAAGTCTTTGCATGTATTGAATCAGCTTTGAGGCTAGGTTTAATATTCTGATTTTAAAAAAACCGCCTGTAGACTTAGGTAGAAATTGATATCTAAATGAAGAAACTGAATTTTTCACACCTCTGTTAGTAGATATAAAAACCTGAAACTTGTCCCCAGCTACATTGGAATGATAAAAATATAACTCCAACTATTCAGCAGTTTACAGAATTTACATTATTTGCAACATTAAAACATTGCTTGTTGACACATGGCTTATAATGAAATATAAGATCCATAAGAAAAAATTATGTAGAACGTATTGTAAATTTGATTATGTGTTATTTTCTGTTTGCTTTTTTTAACTTTTTAAAAATATTCCTTGTAACTTTAATATATTTCTTTTTTTAAAAAAAATCTTTTTTTTTAATGTTAGAGATAATTCTCTGTTGTTAGAGGGTATTTTCCCTCTTCTGGTTCTTCAGATCTTTGCAGTGAAATATGGCAACCCTAACCCATGCTTGGCTCCTGAAAGGGATGCTGTTTAGAAATGTGGGAGGAAACATTTTCAGGTTTCAGATTACACACACAGATTACAAACATTCACTTTTAAAGGATCACTGTGGTAGAATCAAGTACTTTAACATGTCTCCCAATTCAATCCCTGACTCTTTCAACAAAAGGAATTTTAATACTTGGAAACTTTGAGGACCCACTATCACATTGTAGACTTTAGAAAGAGCTGGCATAGTCATACTCCACTCAGTGTCAAGGATGCAACTGTAGAGGTGGTCAACAGTATTAAGTATCTGGGGGTGCAGATAGCTAACAATCATCCTTAGTGAAGCGTGCAAACCAGCATCTGCATTTCCTGCATCGGATGAGGACAGCACATCTTTGTCCTTCTCTCCTGGCCACTTTTTACATAGGCACGATTGAGAGCGTTTTAACAAACTGCATCACTGTCTGGTTTGGGGGCAGAAGAACATCAGATAGAAGTTCCATACAGAGCTTGATATGGACTGCCGAGAAGATCATAGGAAGCTCGCTTGCTTATAAATGCCGTGTGCTTAAGAGCTCAAAGCATTGTTAGAGACCCCACACACCCATTTTATGGTCTGTTTCTGTTGCTCTCCTCTTGGAGGAGGTTTCAGAGTATTTCTAGCAGGACTATACTATTCTGTAATAGCTTTGTTCCCTATGCCATCCCTCTGGTAAACTCAAAAGATTCATTTTTCTCGCCATGTATACATAATCTGAACTTGTTGTTTCTCTGATGTCATATAACATATGTGGGTATGTGCATAATTTTGTATTTATTTTTGTCATATATATGTAAATGTATATTGGAGGTGGTGACCCTTTGAGACCTGCATGAAACAAAACTTCATTTTAATGTCTGCCAGTTAGTGTACATTCAAAGTGACAGTAAAGTTATTATACTAGTCTATTGTTCTGTTCTACTAATTAGATGGTATTGGCAACAGCAATAGCACTTAGACTTATATATTGCTTCATAGTGCTCTAGAGTACTCTCTAAGCCAGCGTTCCCCAACCTTTCTGGGTTGATGATCTGGCTTGGGAGGGGGAGAGGGTATGGCACCCACCAATCATATGAGTGGTGCTCTGACCATCGATGCCCGCTGCTTGCGCATGCATGCTTACCCGCCATTTGCATGGCCACTTCAAAATTGGCCACAGCCCAGTAATGGGCTAAGGCCTAGGATTTGGGGACCCTGCTCTAAGCAGTTTACAAATGTCAACATATTGCCTCCAACAATCTAGGTTCTCATGTTACCAACCTTAGAAGGGTAAAAGGCTGAGACGGTCAGGATTGAACTCCTGGCAGTGGGCAGAATTAGCCTACAATACTGCATTCTAATCATGGCTCCTCAGTGATCAGTGCAACTGATTTATAGAAAGCAACTTTATTTGGCAGGCATGAAAACTCATTGTGTGGAACACCATCAAATAACTAGTAGTTGTTAACTCATAAGTCAAAAATACTTAGTGATATCTAATGGTTTTCTTTTTTTGTGTGCAGGATCCAAACTATTGGATACAGGTCCATCGTCTAGAACACAGTGATGGTGGAATCCTAGACAGCGATGACATTCTTCGTGATGTGGCTGATGATAAAGACAGAGTGAGTATTAATATTTCAAAGAAGACTATTTCTTGTTTGTGAGCACTGAGAAATTATTGATGTTTTACCTGAAAAGAAGGTAACATTGAATTTAAAACAGTCCAATTAAATAGAAACTATGTTTACTAGCTTACTGTATTTTCAGCAAATCTGTCATGCTACTCTCACTTTACAAATTACTTGAAGAATGTCTTTTTTCAGATAAAGAAATGGAAAAAAGAACATTGTAGCATTTGAAACAAATAACCTGGAATTGGCAAAGAGATCAGTTGCTAAGTAATATTTTTTATGATGGTACTTATTCTAATTAAAGTTATAAATAATCTGAAGGAACAAAATGAATTAACAATGTGAGACAAACATTTAGAAGTTTACTCAAATTCAAATTCTCAAGAAAGAACTATAAAAATGTTTCTTTGGAAATGTGTACTTGGTTAAATTTTTAGGATGCCTCTAAAACTATTTCACTGCATTGTTATGATAAATATTTCTACAGCTACATTAAATATTCAGCTTCAAATATACATTATCTTGTTAAAATGGAAAGTCTTGACAAAACATTATTTTCATTGTATTTCATGTGTATTTTTGACATAACGGATTTAATTTGAAGATTGTAGCTTGAAGCATTCTGATTATAAAAAGTGACCATTGTCATGTAAAAGATTATTCAAGAAATTAGCTTATTAAATTACACAAATGTATAAAAATTTCCATGATATTAGATGTTTTAAGATAATATTAAGCAATGTTGTTATTATTTGTTAAATTTATTTGCCCCTCTATCTTGCTGTGGGACTACTCTAGACAGCTTATAACAATAAAAAGAAATAAATGAAGAATGTAAACAGAAGTAAAATAATAGAACAGTGAAAACAATGAACACAAGAATAAACAATGAAAAAGAACCCAAGGAGAATGCATCCAAAAAGATGGATAGGTGGAGAATAAAAAGCAAGGGGGGGGGAGGAAGATGTAGAGTCTGTCATCAATCCTGCAGCCACTTCCAGCATGGAATTCCCCCATCTGGTCCCCAGGCCAACCAGCAGAGGCAGATCTTCAGGCTCTTGTGGAAGGATAGGAGCCTAGACAGTAGGATGTTTCAAAGGGTGGGTATTGCAGCAGAAAAGGTTCTTCTTCTGGATCCTGATAGTCAGAATTCTTTGACTGGTGGGATCCATTGTAGGCTCTCAGCCAGCAGGAGTAGGAAAGGCTTGTTCTAGTGCAGGGGTCTTCAAACTTGGCCCTTTTATGATTTGTGGACTTCAACTCCTGGAATTCCTCAGCCAGGCACGCTGGGAGTTGAAGTTCAGAAGTCATAAAAGGGCCAAGTTTGAAGACCCCTGTTCTAGTGGCTCATCAGGTAGCCTGGACTTATGCCATTAAGGGCTTTAAAGGTCATAACCAACTCCTTGAACTGCATTTGAAAACAACCAGTAACCAATGAAGCAAAGGTATAATGTGGACCATTATAGGAACCCCAAAAGTGCTCTTGTTGCTGTGCTTTGCACCAGCTGAAGCTTCCAAATGGTTAGCCCCATTGAGCACATTACAATAGTCCAGATGAGAGATGACCAAATCTTGAGCGCAAGGAGGCCATGATCTAGAAAAAGTTGCAACTGTGCACAAACCAGAGTTGTGCAAAAGCTCTCCTAGTTATGCCCGCCTCTTGCTTTTTGAGCAGGAGACAAAAGTCCAGGAGAACCCCTACATTGTGAATTGGGTTTGAATGGGGTAACATAGTGCAATCCCATTCAGAACTAAGGATGACAAACATTTGGATCCTGAGGCTTCATGCACCCAAAGCCACTCAGTCTTGCCAGGGTTTAGTCAAAGTCTGTGGTCCCTTATTCAAATCTCTACAGCCTCAGGCATAGTGAAAAGGTAGATACAGCCTTGCTTGGGTCACTACCATATGTAGGATATCTAGGACAAGAGTCCCCTCTTAAGATTTCTTTTCACAAAGATGCTTTGTTGACTTGATATTTTTCAGAAACATTAAATTTCATGCCAATTGGGAATTCTGATAGTTGACATACTGGAATCTGATTACATCAGATTAGGAAATACTAATATAAAGCTTCTCTGAAATTGTTTTACTTTTCAGCACAATATGTTCCTGCCCAGTAAGTAGTATTCTTGAGTTGCTTCTTTTAAGGAATGATGGAAGTTATGCCTTCTAAAGAAGACTGAGAAAAAACAAGTTTGGTTATGAGAAACCATCATGTTCCTGTCATCCCTTACTTTCCCCTGATGTAGCAGTTGAGAAAATAAATGCTGGGAGTAGATTTGGATGCTGGGATTAATGCAATGACATGATAGCAGTGCTCCAATATCTCAGGGCTTGCCACAAAGAAGAGGGAGTCAAGGTATTCTCCAAAGCATCAGAAGGCAGGACAAGAAGCAAAGGATGGAAACTAACCAAAGAGAGAAGCAACTTAGAACTAAGGAAAAATTTTCTGACAGTTAGAACAATTAATCAGTGGTACAATCTGCCTCCATAAGCTGTGAATGCTCCAACACTGGAAATCTTTAAGAAGAGACTGGACAGCCATTTGTCTGAAATGGTATAGGATTACCTGCCTGAGCAGGGGTTGGACTAGCCAACCTCCAAAGCCCCTTCAACTCTGTCTATTCTATTCTGTTCTGTTCTACTCTACTCTACTCTACTCTACTCTACTCTACTCTACTCTACTCTACTCTACTCTACTCTACTCTATATTCTATTCCATTTCATTCATTTTTGAATGCGTCAGCAGCATTTGTATTAGTAGTGCAGAAGCCTGCCAGATAATTGGGGCTCCCCATTTCCCTCTTTCTGTTAAACTTTGTTTCCTTTCTTCTGAAGGAAAAGCTCTATCACATTATCCTGGGTTGTTAGTCAGATGTGCAAGGCCTACAGTTAATATAGATAGCAATGAACTAGAAATTCAAGTTGGTTTCTTCTTTCCTCAGACTGTCATGTTTGCCAGCTGCATAACTTTCTACGCCCACTTGCTTCTAATAACTTGGTCATTCGCTTGTCATGAATGCTTTTAATTGTACTTTGTAATACTTTAAGAATCTTCAATTGATTTGGACTTGTACATTTGGACTTGTATATGCTTGGCTATCTCTCAAGCAAGGTACTTTTTTACAAATTGGCTAAGGCAGTTGGCCCCCCAACCTTTCTGGCTCTGTGGTGGTTGTAGAGGGGAAGGGGATGGTTTTGTGTGCACACCCACTGCTTGCATGGCCCAATTCCCAACAAGATGGCAGAAATATTCTTCTAGATATATTGACTAAGGTTTATGGAAGTTGTAGTCAATTTATTTGGTTGCAGGAGGCCATTGTAAAGCCTACTGCATAGACATGTTGTAATTACAGGCATTAAAACATTTGCTTTTTTTCTTTCCCCCCCCCCACAAATGAAATCCCACCTGAATGTTCAGATCAGGATAGTTTTGCCATAAATCATCTTGTTCTGGAAAACAGTGAAGAATTTTCTGAGCTTTTGAATCACAGCACTTTGGAATCTGTTGGATAATAACAGCTTTTGTAGAAATATGAGAAAACAGAATTGAATGGAAACATATCTACTAGAACAGGGGTAGGCAACCTTGGCTCTTTCATGACTCGTGGACTTCAACTCCCAGAATTCCTGAGCCAGCATTGCTGGCTCAGGAATTCTGGGAGTTGAAGTCCACGAGTCATAAAAGAGCCAAGGTTGCCTACCCCCCCTTGTATTAGAGTACACTTGAAGCTTTCTTTGGGAGAAGATGGGATTTTGAAGCAATGATTGAAAAAGGAACTAGGGAAGTAATTCATGTAATTCTCCATAAGGTTTTGGATGAAACCAACCAGATTCTCATTTCTTTGTAATTGAAATAATAGGCTAGTCATAGAGTTCTAGAGTGAGGTGATGGATTTTTCCCCCCACCCAGAGTTTATAACAGATTTCATCTCATAGTTAAGGCTCAGGCTGGAAACCAGGAGACTGTGAGTTCTAATTTCACTCCTAACAATGAAAGCTGGTTAGGTGACCTTTGGCCACTGACTCTCTCCCAATTCAACTCACCTCACAGAGTGGTTGTTGTGGGGAAATAAGAGAAGGAAAGTGTATTAAGAATGTTTTCCATATTATAAAATAATAAGGGGTGTGTGTGTAAAAATAAATAAATAAATAAATAAATAAATAATAAGCATCAGATTGCATGGATGGTGGAAAGTATCATGGTTATAGCTCCTAAAATATTTTTATCTTTTGAAGTTTTGTTTGCATCAGTTTGAACATTTGAGGAAAGTTAGACTCCTGGACTGCCTTACTCAGTGTTTCTCAACCTTGACAATTTTAAGGAATTCTGGGAGTTGAAGTCCACATGCCTTAAAATTGTCAAGGTTGAGAAACACTGGCCTTACTCATCAAATTCAGATATATTCTCATTGTCATTTTTGGGGGGGAAAAAAACCACAGTTCTAAAAGACTATGGCATTCCTAATAATAATAAGTTTTTGAATTATTGTTTATTAAAGATATTATTTTAAAAAAGCAGAAAATGCTTTCATTTTCTTATTTACAAGTTAAGAATTGCACAGACAAGTTGCACAGACAAGTTGCACAGTCATGTTTAAAGAAGCAGGAATAAAGGGTTATTAAAGCAACGGGCTAAACTGAGTGTTTAAGAGAGGCTGAGTCTGTGTTGAGTGGAATCAGGTCTCAGAATGGCCAAAGTTAAGACAGCTTGTCTGGTGAGATTTGGGGAAGAGTGTGGGGAATTATTTGTGTTCTTTTAAAAAATAAAGTTAACTCTATAGCCTAAAGTTATGCCTGCCAAATGGCACTAGGTCAGTGGTTCTCAACCTGTGGGTCGGGACCCCATTTGGGGTCGAACGACCATTTCACAGAGGTCGCCAAACAACGCAGTCCACCATTTCCCCCCCCTTTTCCTTAGCTGTGCTACTCCCTTTTATTCTATTGGCTTTTGAAAGCCAATAGAATAGAGTCTCTTGAATAGAGTCTAATTCTATTGGCTTTCAAAAGCCAATAGGAATTGTCCAGGCTGTCTCTGCCCTGCTGAGCCTGCCAAAAGTCCCATTCTGCAAACGGTGCTGCACCAGTTGAGTAGTCCTCGACTTACGACCGGTTGAGTAGTCCTCGACTTACGACCGGTTGGGGGGTTGCGGCATTAAAAAGGTTGAGAACCACTGCACTAGGTTATACTACCATTTGGTATATTTCCTCCCTATAAGTTACATATGTTGGTGGCATTGAAATAAACCAACTGACATTTAAAAAGGAACTGCTGATAGAGACTCTCAGCAATTGTGCCTTGAAGGTGCTCTGTGGATCTGGTGCCTTTCAGAGTCCACAGGTTGTCCACCCAACATTGCTAGCTCCTTGCACCAAACACTGGCAGAATGATCTGTCCTGAGACCTTAGACCAGGGATAGGCAACCTTGGCTCTTTTATGACTCGTGGACTTCAAGTCCCAGAACTGGCTCAGAAATTCTGGGACTTGAAGTTCACCAGTCATAAAAGAGCCAAGGTTGCCTACTCCTACCTTAGACCATGATAAGCTGATAAATTAGAAATAATGGAGAACTTCTATTTAGACATTCAAAGAACTAAAGGTCATATTTATTCTAGAGTAGAGGTGATGTTTAGTTTTGTTAGCCAAGGGTCACAACAGGCAGGCCAATGCCATGGTGATATGAGCCAAATAAAGATGAGAAAGATTCCGGGGGAAACTTGCTCTTTTAGTCAGGAGGGATTGTTTGTGCCCTTGTTTTTGAAGTTTTCCATCCCACTTTGTTTCCTCTTCAGAAAGACCTGAAAGACTTTCTAAGTAGATTAAATAGAATGAATTTAGAAACCTTTCAGTATTTAGGAGTCCTGAATGGCCTTTAATACTGCATATCTAGATGAAAACCTGAACAGCTTTAAGACTTTTTAAACTGAATGAAAATAAATAATATTTTTTTTCTCATGCCTTGTATGCCTGGAGTGGACTGGCTGACATGATTTGTAGCCATATATAAAATAAATCATTTGGTAGTGTCTTGTTGGCACCAGTTTATCTATGCTTGTTTCATAAGAGTTATTAGTAGGAAGACAGGTTGATCAATATTATTATTCTCTGCTTTAAAATATGTCACAGCTTAGCTGGAATATGGGGAATTGAAGTCCATGCATCTTAAAGTTGCTGAGGTTGAAAAACTCTGCCCTGCAGGAATGGTTGTTAACTGCTTTTGATATCCTATGTTTGGTAACTGAGAAGCTTATGTTTTTCATTGTTCCTATCATTTCTTAATATTCACCCAACATTTTTCTCCCTGCATAACATGTCATCTTTTTATGCTTTCTTGGATGTTGAGATGGCACTCAAAAGCAGTATAAAGCAGATTGGTAACAATGTTTAGATCAGACATCTTTGCAAGTGTCATTACTCTTTATTTACCTTCCTCAGGCCATCTTGGCTTACCTATTGAAGAGGAAATATGGGCATGTCATTTTACCTGCCTGACCTTGGAAAAGAGGAGCCAGCTGAATTTGTGTTTTGAGGAAATGGCAGTGAAAACAGAAGGTTCATTTTCATAGTGACTGCTGAATAGTTGCTCATGAAACATTCATGGAGTAGAGCTGTGTTAAGTGATCAAATTGCCATCTGAAATTTCCAGTGAGATTACAAATTGCTTCATGTGCAAAATCCATTTTAGAGCTCAGCAAGAGATCCTTACCCTTTAATAACATCTGCCTGTCACTCCCCGGCTACAAAAATGTAGGGTTTAAGTAGCCCACTTTTGAATGGCTGGAGGGACAATTGATTGAAGATAGTCTGTTAAGTGGTGGAAGATGACCTGATTGGGAACATTTTATCCTTCTGTAGTTCAATTTTTTTTTTAAAAAAAGAAAAAATTCCTCAACTTTTAGCTGAATTGCTGAATTGAATCGGTGACCAGTAATTGAGGTGAGGAAGGATACTTGACCCCTCTATTTTCATTTGAATCATATTGATACCACATGTAGTAGGTATTCATTTGACAAGTTTTTCATTTTAAATGAGAAGTTGCTTGTAAAAGGTATCTGGGCTATATCTCAATCAGGGGAACATCTGTATTCATATCCAGATGACATGTTGTCATGGCCAATTTTTCATCAGCTTTTCTTACTTGTAAAACTGATGAAATGTTGCACTTGCTTAAATGCAAACAGCTTTATTGTTGCACTAAATTCTTTGAGCCAAAAGAACAAGGTGAATACTCTTTCAAATAAAGATACTCTTTCAAATAAACCTCAAGTTGGCAATAAAATACTTTTAAAATATTCACTAATACTGTGATAAAAATTGAATCCCAGTAAACAGTTAAAATCAGTCTACATTCATAAAGGCTTCCAATAATCGGAATCAATGTTTGGAAACCACCATCTCTTGATCATACATTG